AATAAATTCTCTTGGGATAAGCTGATGTGTGGCATGTTAAGGGAGCCATGTTAAAAGAAAAATAGTAGTGGAAGGAAAGTTAAAATAGATTACTATGTCTTGTGATACACCTATAGGTAGAGGTGCTTATTTCTTGAGGGCATTCAAGGTTGTGAGGTTAAACACACTTCTTTATTAAAATTTAGGAAAATGTGGAGATCTGTAGTAAAATTCCTCTCACTTAAAGCAAAATTCAGGTGGTTGTGAGATCAAGTAAAGGCCAGCTGAAGTTTATTCGGCCTTCCTGTGCTTATTAGGATGTCGTCTTTATGCAGATAATTCCTTTGGGGATGGGAAGGAGGAAGAAGCAGATAATTTTTCTAGCTGATTCTGACTCCAGCTTCTGCTTTACAAAACAGCCGTAGTGCTGCACTGATACAGGAATATGCTTTGGAGATTGTTTTGTTTTGTTTTTTTTTCCCCCAACCTGCAGAAGGTTGCTGTGCTGGATCTTAATAAGGGAACTTAGTCTTTTGCCTCCAGACTGTTTTCATCAGTGGCTTGCCTGTGGTGATTTCCTGACATTCTTCCATATGCTCATGCCGAAAAGTATGAGAGGTTCTTGCACTGTTGGGGTGACTTGGGTGAAGTTGTTGGCATGTGCTTGAGGCCTTTTTGGTAGCAAATGCCTGCTGCAGAGCAGGCTCTCCAGGACAAGGAAGGGATTGAGCCTGCTTTTCCCTTCATCTTCCATTTGGAAAACCCTCAGTTCCCCACCCATTCCTAGAGGCAAAGCAGAGACCTTTTTTAGTCTACTCCTCATATGCCTGTCACTGGCAAAACCGAGAAATGGTGCCACATTCAGTTGCCCTGATGAAGCTGTGAAGCGTTAAAGAGGTGTTGAATGGCGCAACTGGGTGCTTCTGATGCTCATCTACAAGTTCCTTGTGAGGGCTGTGATGGTCTGCCTTATTCTCTGAAGCTGTCCTCTTCTCTCCAGGCTGGCAACACAAACTGCCCTTGGAACAAGCAGAGTTTTGTCTCCTGGACGTGCAAGGTGGCATCTTCTCCTGGCTCTCATATGCATGTAGCTGTCTCTGCTGGGGAGTTGGATTGGGGGGGGGGGTGATGTGTCGAGCTGAGGAGGCTCAAGGTCAGGATGCCCTGCTGTAGGCAGCTCTCCTGTCAGAAAGGTCTCTGGATATGTCTCAGTTGTCGCTCTGCAGACTGGGATGCTGGTTTGGGTGGACACTCTGTAAACAGTGAGTGCTGTATGGGTGGGGTCTCCCACTGTGAAAAGCACTGAGATTTTATGGATGCAGAATCAGGCTAACTTCCATGTATTTTCTGTAGGTGCCCCTATAGCTACTTTGGGCACAGTCAGACTTGTTGCAGTCTTCAGTGAACGAGACTTCGGGAGACAAATTAACTTTCTCTGTGCTTCCCTAACAAGTTGACTTGTACAAAGATTTGCCGCCTTTATTTTAGCCTTTGTCTCCTCCCCTATCCAAGTGCATGGTAGGTTTTGAAGTCCTTTACATTAAACTAAGTTACTTTACTTTTCCATCTAAATAATGAATCTTGTTTTGGAAAGTGAGCCCGTGCTTTATCTTTTGCCATGCTTCTCTGCAGTTGTCTAATAAAAGGCACTTTTAACTTCAGTATGACCCTGGTGATTTGCAGAGGATTGCTCTATTACAGGGTTGGCCTATTTGCAGCATATTTGTTTCTCGGTTTTGGTTGAGTGATCTTCTGCCAATGGTAAAGAGTGAAAAATAGGGACATTATTTGTCTGGTTCACGGGGATAATATTAGTATTTATCAGATGTGTAAAACATCACTAAATATTCTTGCGTAAACACAGAGTAATCTGTGATGAGAGTCAGCCTGAGCTAGCTGGAGAGGTTCTGCACACCCACTTTAGAAGGGAGGCTCCCTTATGTCTGAAGCTACATGTTGGCTGCCTGAAAACCCTTAAGCTGGAGCAAAATAGAAAACTCTGGTTTGGTGCTTTCTGGCTATATCCTGCTTTTGCGAGGGTGGGATAGCCTCTCCTCCTACCCCGCCTCTGAGACTTGGCTGCCAGTGCTCCTCCCAGCCCTTTTCTCCCATTGGGATTCCTGAGGGTTACTTGCTGTTTGTGTGCTGTACTACTGCCTTTCCCATCCTCAGCCTCTTGGTGTTTCTTCTGTGCGTGGGAAAACTCCCCACCCAGAAAGCTGTCCTCGTGTGAGTCTTCAGGATGGCTCGGGGGAAGGTGAGCTCCCCTTCTCCAGCGTCCTACTTGACGCCGAAGGCAGCAGTAAGGGTGGCAGCAGTAGCTGCTCAGGTGCAGGGAGCGCAATGTGCAGCGCTGCTGCTTTCAGCTGTGAATGCATGAAATGGATGCCTTACTAGTGTCTACAGTGTGTAATCTTCTCCAGCTGGAACTACATGTAAAATTTACCTACCAGGTTGTATAAAAAGCATCCAAATTCTTCTTGCTTTTAGCAGTTGTTCCATTACCTGGCATTTAGTGTGGCTGATTTGCTGATGCCAGTACTACTCCTGCCTGTGCAGATTGGTCTGGAGTCATAGACGTGCCCTTAGCTCCCATGAGTGCATTTCTGTTCTGGTGTCTCACTTTCCCCCTTCCTTCAGACTTGTAGCTGTTGCTGCAATACCTTTTGCTGTACAGATAGCAAACAGTTACTTTAAGATTACCTTTCTTATGACTGCTTTCCCTCATCTCCCATACAAACTAATGCAGCAGATGTTAGGTTTTGGGGAGGGGGAGGTGTTGCTGTTTTTTCCACATGGCTTCAGCATAAACTTTGGTGTTTCCTTGAAAAGCCTGGAGCTATTTTTAGTATTTGCGTGGAGTAAAAGTGACTCCACAGAAGTGCAACTGCACCATAATGTTGAAGTATTTTTTAACTGTCTGGTTCATCTTCTTGACTGCAGTGCCTGAAAGATAGACATGTAAAGCACAATTGGTAATTCTAAATCTGGTTTACATTGTGTGGGCTGTGCTTCAGATGGCTGTCCTTCCCAGTGTTTGGCTCTGTGACTTTGCAGTAAAGTAAAAAGCTGAAAGACCTTTCAATGGCTGCTCAGCTCATTTTTTGCGTAAGAATTGTCAGCATGGCAGGTTGCTTAGTTTTGTTTTTGAGGGGAAGGGGGCTAAAAGTACTCTTGAGAGCTGCTAAGGGTCTGGGCTGTAGAGTTTAGTTCAATAATCTGCGTATCTTGCATATCTTGAAGGGGAGTTTCTTGATCTGTCACAGCTATTCAATTTGAATGTCTTTGAGTTTCTTCTCAAAATTTCTGGACTTAATTCCCCAAATTTCAGCTGTTGTCTTACACGACGTAGGAATCTGCTTTCTGGAAAAGACGGTATGGTACAGGAGTAAGACTTGCAGGGCCTTGCTTGGCCTCTGTATAAAATGCTTCCCATTGCAGCAGTGAGGAAAAAAAAAAGAAGGGTTTTTTGAGGTATTGAATTTGAAAGGAAGATAGTTTCCTTGCTGAATTGTTTTGTATTGTACACCAGGTAGTAGTGTGTATTTTATGATAAAAATTAATTCTGCATTATGGGCTGGGGTTTCATATCTGCAAGGAAAAGCATTGTGCTTTCACAATCAACACTGTCTCCAGTAAAGCCCAGCACACCTGTATTCAGTGGCTGTGCTACTTTCTAACAGCATGAGGCTGAGTTAAGCTTAATAGCAGTGTTGGATAGTTAAACTAGCTTGTATGATGCCTGTAGGGATAGTTGGGTGCTCCTCTCCTTTCTGATTCCTTGGAAGGCAAGAGTTACAATATTGAGATGTATTGGCTTTTTTCCAAATGTTGTTGTGGAGTCTGGACCTGAGTAGTAATCCAGGAAACACCTGTGTGCATCAAGAAACAATCTGACTTTCTCTTACATTAATTTTAGTTATCTTCTAGCAAAGTTGAATTCTTTCCTTTCTCTCTCTTAGAGTAAAAGCTATTTGTAGCCTCTGCCCCAAACAGCAGAAGCAAATACTGATTCCAGATGAGTGCTGTTAGGGTATCAAGATGCTTGGAAGCATGAAGTATCTCACTGTTTCTTATTAATGTGTCCCTGCAGGATCATGACCAGGGACTACAGAGTATATGGGACTAAGTAAAGCTGTGCTTTTAGGAGAGGAGAGCTGTGGGAGGAGAGGCGTAGTCATGTGGACAAAAGTTAGCCCTCTGAAAACATAATGCTTTGTGTCTTTAAGGTTGAGGTCTGGGAGTCTCTTAAGATTCTTGATTGAAGTCTCTTCCCCACTACTGGGGAAAATGCATATGCTAGTTCCCTGTATGCTATGAGGTTTTTCTGTTGTCAATACGAGGATACTTTTAGAGGTACTTTTTTGATTGTCTCTTCATTAGTACATATCTTGAAAGAACGGAAGTTTCTTGATGTGTCACTTGTAGCCATCTGATTTGGATTTTTTTTTTCCCCTCAAGGTTGTCTTTTCTGACTGTGTATGAGGCATGGGATTAAAAAGAGGTTCATTTGGGCAAATTTGAGCCTGCCTTGCGCATTTATGGTTTTGTGGTTTAGGTTGAGCTACTTGGATGCATTTGTATTTGTAAAGATTGAAAATGGTTGAGTGTGTTCTGGAAAGAGTTAATTATGTATACTTTTAGACTCAGATCCTTCGTTAGAAGGAACGATTCAACCTCTGGAAACAGGTAACTGCTTTTTTGCCACGTGGCTTTATAGTAGTGCTTGCGTTGGAGTAATATGAGTAGCTGCAGTTCATTTACAAGAGATTGAGTCATTATTTGGAGAATTTTGTCTGCACAATAGAAGGTATCAGCTTGGCTTGCATGTTACCTGGTGTGTGATGCTACAACAGTTGGCGTGTCAGCTTGTAGATAACTCAGCAGTAGCAATTCTATATCTCGAACACTTCCCTGTGGAAGCTTTGAATAAATTTTAAAGATGTACCCTGGACTCAAGAGTGTAGTGAGTGTACCCAGCGAGGCATCATTCAGGACTGACCCCAGAAGGGCCTTTTTGCTCTTGTATGTGTGTTCAGTACTTCACAGCTGTTCTGTTTTACCATTTCTGGACACGTTTTTCAACTTAGACCCGAGGTTCATGGAGCTTAGACTGTAGGTGCACATGCCAGATTTACTATGGCAACCTTGAACATTTTTCGTTCTCAAGAGGTAAATGCAATATAAGCAGGAAAACTGTGTAACCTACAACACAAAATCAAATTTAAGAGCTGTTAGGGCAGGATGGTGTATTTGCGGTTTTGGGGTTTTTTTTATGTGAGTTTAGAACTTCAGTGATGCTCTGAAGCTATATGACACTGGAATGCTTGCCAGTTTTCATATAGGAGCCTTTCAAAAGAAATACTGTCAAGTGCTTAAAATAACCAGCAGTCCCATATTGGCTTGCTCTCATTTGTATAAAAATAAGAACTAAATCATTGAACTCTTCACTTTTTCACGTTGTCTGCTTTTTTTTCTCCTTTGGACTATACTGAACAGTTTATCTTTGGGTTTTTAAAGTAATGAACCAATGTTCAGTTTGCAGACAGAGGAGGGAACAACTTTATGTTCAAGCAGTCCACACTTAATGTATTGATAACTGTTTTATGCATATATTTAGCTTTAGTATAAAAACATGAAAACTTCAGACTCTAGAGCTACACAAATTTTCTTGTATATCTTTTCAAAAGAAGCAGGTAGGCTTTTTTGTTTGCATAAATCCTTTAAAATCCAGAATTATTTTTTTGTTACAAATTATGAATTAACTTTCATACTTGAAAATAGAGTTTCATTTAATTGACAGGTAATTTTTTAGGAGTCAGTCATTTGATTTGTATTAGGAAAATGATGACATTACTTGAACCTAGAAGTTTTACTCATGGCACATTACACTGAATTAAGTCGCTCAGAGAAAGCTTAGTATTTCAAGCTGATAGGTTTTTTGAAGTGTTTTAGGCAATTGTCTTGTGTGTGCTGCATCTTGTTACATATGGGATGATGTGGGATAACAAAACTTTTTTTGAGAAGTGACATTCATAGATCTCTTGCTTAAATTAATCCGATTCCTATGGTTTCTTAAAAACACCAAGCTTTTGCATGTTGCTTCCTGCTTAATTTTGCAGGAAGGCTCAAAATTAATAGCACATGCCTTCTGTTCTTACAGCTTCACTCCATCATTTACTAGAATGTCTTCTCATTGCATTCTAAAATGGAAATAACTTACAGTTAACTCTAAAAGATGTGGTTTGAAAAGGAGTGGTTGGATTGTTTGGTGGTTTTTTTCAGTGAGTCATAGTGTGACTTGATATTGCATGCTTTAACATCAAGTATATCCTCATAATTATATTACATTATTATTACTGACCTACATTTTGTAGCAAAATAAATGTTCCCTGTCTTGGCAACTAGTCCGGTTGGGGGTGGAACTAAACTGATTAGTTCACCTGGTCAGTAATCCGTTAGTATATGTGAATACTTACTTGTGTTCCCTGTTCGTTTGCACATTAGGACTGCACCTGGCATTTGCGATATAAATGAAACCTCTGTATCTTTTTGTTTACCATTTTCATGTTTACTTTTTTCACACACCTCTAGATACAAATAGTCCATCTGGAAAGGAGGGAAAGCCTATAGAAAATGGAGTCCTTGTGAGTGAAGCCACTGGAAAGGTGATTCATAGGTGTGTAGTCTTGCTTTCCCCCCCCCCCCCGACTCGTGGACAAACAGTAATTTGGTGTTTATGGTATTTGTTGGAGGAAAATGTATCATGCTGGATCCATCAGCTTGAGAGGCGAGGCTGCTGCTGCTCCATGGCTCGAGGTCCAACAGTAGCAAGGCTGAAGATGTGCGCCAGCACGAGCATAGAGCGTACATACACACCACATGTATACCTGGCTGGCCGTACAGATCACAGGCACTTAGAGCACCCACACAAACACAGCACCAGGTGGCCTCATCCTGTTGCCATCTCTGGCTGAGCAGGATGGAGATTCACTAGTGAGAATATAATACACATACATGTACAAGGTGGATCCCTCCACTCGTTGGGCTCAGACACTCAGTCTGCGCAATAGCCGCCCCTGGTTCCCAGTCTCCCCAGTTGCTAGCACCAGGGCATGCAAGCCTCTGAGGCTGCAGCCCTGCTCCAGCTACTGGTACAGACTGTTGCACGTGCGTGTCTGTGCACACAGAGCTCTTGTGCTCCTCTTCCTTCCATGTGAGGAAACGATTGTGTTGTAGCGAGATACCGTCTGTTTGGCTCACATAAAAGGGAGAGTATAGTTTTGGCTAGTACAGCTTTCACATGCTTTCCCAAGGCTGCTGCATTTCACTGCTGTCAGGTGGGAGGACATGCTAAGTGGATCTTTAGTCTGACCTAGTACAGCTGCTGTTACGCTTGAGAGGTGAAGGGCAGTCACTGTGATTTTGGGAAGGTTTAATCAATCTCATAGTCTATGCCTTATTCTTACAGTGCTCTAGAGATACTGTCTTTCTGGAAACTAATGAGTGCCTGGGAGTACACTTGCCCATTTTGATGCCGGTGTGTGTCCCCTTTTTACACTTCAGCAGCTGCACCGTGTATGGTGATAGGGTTTGTAAAGGCTGATGTTGATCATCACCAAGCATTTTTCTTCTGGGAGTTTGATTGCTCAACCAAGGCTTCAACCAAGACTTGACTGGCTAGCCTGTTACTTCTATCTGGAGATGGACACTTGAGAACTGAATGCCGTCAGGGAGGATTAGGAGTGCGCTGTGAGGGGAGGAGGGAAGCGCTATAGCCACTGGCCTGATGATTACTGTTTAGGAGGTTGCTTATCACCAGAATAATGTAAGGCACTGACTTGGAGCTGTGGACTGTTCAAGTCTATTAAGTAAACACTTGGCCTGTATCATGCTAAGGCTGAAAAATAAATGTCTTCAAACAGGCAACTCAGTAACTCTTCAACGTACAGCAGAGACACTGGGAAGTCACAGCACCAGAGCAGCACATCAGAGCTGCAGAAGCCACTTGCTGAAAAGAATTCCTGGAAACTGACGGAGGCCGACACAGCGAAGACAGGCAGGGTAAGGTCTCATGTTCCTGCTTCTTGCAGTCTTGCAGTTTCAGAAAAATCCACAGGGTTCATAATCAAATAGCGCGCAAAAAAAAAAAAAAGGCAAACCTGGAGCTCAACTTGGGGAACAGAGGGCTCAGCAACACTTCCATGAAGTACTACACAGCAAGCAGCAAGTCCAAGAATCCACTCAGCAGGTTTGCGTGCAGAAAGAGTGCCAACACCAAAACTTTTAAGATTCACTCAGGTGAACTTAAGCCAGGTTTCTACTGTAGACATAAGTATCTAATCCCAGGATAGCCAGGGCTTTCTGAGAAACCTGAGGGTGAGGTTCCTGGGAAAATGGCAGTTACACCTCTTCAGTGTTGCTTGAATTCTCTGGTTAAAGATAGATCATAGGATACAAGCCATGCGGAGCAAGGATTTAATTAAAGGCTGTATAATCTTGTGGTAAAAAGAGAGCACCAAAAACTTTAACTCTCAGTGAAGTTTTTGGCTCTGCCACTGATGCTCTGTTACTTCAGGCAGCTCTCTTCCTACCCTTTCCTTCCCTTGGAAGGCAAGGGAAAGTTGATGTGTGCCTGCCCTGGAGGGCTGTTGGGTTTGGCATGTCTCCATAGAACAATTTGCAGCTTCTGTTCCCAAGCAGTGGCTCTCTAGAGTGCAACTGCTGTTTTTTATGGCCTGCTGCAGGGATATTGACTTTAAATAGGGGTTGAAGAAGGAGGAATTTCTGGTTTTGAAACTTAATCTGAAAAATTTTTTTTTTCCCCCCCTTCTGTCTTCAGGTAAAGGCAACAGTGTACTGGGACTACATGAAAGCAATTGGACTCTTTATCTCTTTCTTGAGCATTTTCCTCTTTATGTGTAATCATATAGCCTCCCTGGCTTCCAACTACTGGCTAAGTCTATGGACAGATGATCCTGTTATCAATGGGACACAGCAGTACACAAATGTCAGACTGGGAGTGTATGGAGCACTGGGAATTTCTCAAGGTTTGCTTGGTCTTACCTATTTTAAGATTAGCTGGTTCAGAATGTTTCTAATGCTCTTGGTGACCTTGTATCCCCAGAACTACAGCAGCAGTTTGCTAAAGGTTTGAGTGTGTTTTTTTCTTTTTCCTTTGTAGAAAGATGAAAAACTTGAGTGAATTAATAAAAAAAAGACAAGCAAACCAACCTATAAAATTATTCCATTAGTGAACATGGTTTTCTTTCATTTGTACAAAATGAAAAGGAAGGTGGTTTGCAGGGGCTGGTGAGCCAGCAGTTGGTGGCAAAATGTCTGACCCAGGAAATGGCTCCTTGGCCTGTAAACAAACTGTGCTAGCCTGGCTCTTGGGGACAGTCTGTCACGGGAGGCTATGGCTGCACTGCCTACGTCGCAGACATGGCCTGGCTGAGCTGTGTGGGCTGGTGTTTCCTCTGACTGTCGGAGGGTCCATCCAAGGCACCACAGGGAGGCCAGCTCAGCGGCTTTTTGTGTGTCCTCTTTGTGGTCAGAGTTTGTTTGCCGTGAAACCTAACAGCCAAGTACCCCATTTCAGAAGTGCCATAAAAATCCTGCAATAAAAACTAAATGCCACCTTAAAATTCAGTGGTCTTTACACAAGGAAGTTTTGTAATGGAGAAGCAACTTCTTCCATGAGAGAAATGTGGTGTTTTCACTGATTTTTTTTTTTTTTTTTTTTTAAATTACTTGGAGTAATTGCTGAGTCTACTTATAGTGAACCCCAGTTCTGAGATTTATTGTATTAGTGACATGCTAATGCTAAGTGATAACAAAATGAAGGAAAATGTTTTGTATGAGAGGTGGAAGCAGTTAAAAACAAGTCTTCTTTTCTAGGTATTGCTGTGTTTGGCTACTCGATGGTTGTGTCAATAGGGGGAATATTTGCTTCACGACACCTGCACCTTAACCTGCTGCACAATGTCCTCAGGTCTCCAATGAGTTTCTTTGAACGTACACCCAGTGGAAACCTGGTGAACCGTTTCTCTAAGGAGATAGATACCATTGACTCCACCATTCCACCGATCATCAAGATGTTCATGGGCTCGACATTTAACGTGATTGGGGCTTGTATCATCATTCTGCTGGCCACACCAATAGCTGCTGTCATTATTCCACCTCTGGGACTTGTCTACTTGTTTGTGCAGGTAAGGGGTGTTACCTGGGTGCACTGGGACCAGCAGTCACTCATCCTCTGTTATTTAAAACAGTTCTTTTCTGACTCTGCACTGGGATGGATTTTAATGTATTTGTCTTGACTCATGCTTGACTGAGTGTGCTTTGCATGGTTTGTTGATTAGCTGACATTAGCAGAGCATTTCCTTCTGTTGTCAAGTGTAGAATGACTTCTGTGCAGAAGGTAATCCTTTAATACCTAAGCAGATTTTACAACAATGTCATTAGATTTTGAGGCAAATTTTGTGTAGCTTGTTGCTCAGAGCCCAAATATGGAAAAAGTATGGGCTTTTCTAAAACTTGCTTCTAAACAAAAGAGTAGCCTTTGGAGAGGTATGGGTGCATTGCTGATGTGCCTGTTTCATCAGAACATGGTTTGCAGAGCAAGAGAAACAATGGCAGCCTTTCATTCCTGTCTTGTGAGGCAGGGTGTGCTTGCTTCACTCTTGCTTTACTATTAGAAATCTAGTAGAGCCAGTACAGATTGGAGAGAAGCTGGATTTTGACTTTGACTCTTTAATTAGTGAATCTATCAGGCTCCATTAGTAAACCTTAAAGGCAGTCATGTGTGTGTTTTGCACTGGTGAACCAAGCTTGCAGAGAAGAGAGCAGATTATGGCTATTGCATGAGATGTTTTGATTTGGGGTTGTTTAAAGACAGCAGAGTGTATGTCGTAGGCTTTTTAGGCCTAAAAGTGTTGGAGAGGGCCTGCATTCCCATGTGTAAGCTGAATCTCTGTAACTAAAAGCCCAAATGGCAGGGAACTCTCTTATGATGCCCTTTGTCTTTTCAGACGCAGTCTGGATGTAACTATAATTCTCATACTCTGATTTGCAGAGATTTTATGTGTCCACTTCTCGCCAACTCAAACGCCTTGAGTCTGTCAGTCGTTCTCCTATATATTCTCACTTCAATGAGACCCTCCTGGGAGTCAGTGTCATTCGAGCCTTTGAGGAGCAGAAACGTTTCATAAAGCAGAATGACATGAAAGTGGATGAAAATCAGAAAGCATATTATCCAAGCATTGTTGCAAACAGGTAACAGTGGGGTTGAAATATTGAAAGGCAGTTATATAGGGGACATGGTTCTGCTGCCTGTGCTCCTTATCAATTACAGCTTTCAGCATACTTGTCGCATACTTGTCTAGTGGTAGGGAAGCCTGTGTGGATATATCTGTTTCACAGATGTTTTGCTTAAACTCTGTGATGGAATGAAGATTACTTCTGAATTTTTTTCTTTCTGAGAGTTCCTGCCTTACTTCTGGGTAATATTTTTTTTTAAAAGTTTTGGTTCATTGATCCCAGTGTTAACCACAACTGTGTTCTGAACTAAGACAGGAATTTATGCACCTGAAATGTTTATTAATTTTGGATGCCTCTAGGTTTGCATGCTGCTGGAGCAGAACCTCAAAAGTCTTGCAGTTCCTGTGGCACTGGCAGTATGCAGATGCCATATTACTAATCTTTTCAAAAACAAGATGTGTGAGCATTGGTTGGCCACATTCCTAGTTCTCTGTGGGTGAATTACCAGAAAGATCATTACATTTTTCCATCTTGCAGATGGCTGGCTGTCCGTCTGGAGTACGTGGGGAACTGTATTGTCCTCTTTGCAGCATTGTTTGCAGTGATTGCACGCAACAAGCTCAGTGCAGGACTGGTTGGCCTCTCAGTGTCCTACTCACTGCAGGTAATTTTGCCTTTTTTACAAAAAAGCTCTGAATTGTAAGACTGCATCAGAAAGTCAGAACCTTGTTATGGCTTTGGAGGGAGAATAAGGAACATAGGAAGACAATACTAACTACAAATAGCACCTGGAAAGATGCTGTTCCTTCTGTGCCTGAAGGAAAGAAAGTTCCTTTTGTGCCTCGCTTGTGTGAAGTGATGTGGCGAAGATGACTTATACCCTGCATGTTAAAGGCATCTGGACTTTTCTTCTGTCCAGCACTGATTAGCCAAGATTTTTTCTGTGTTTATGCATCCCATGAACTTGCAGTGCTTTGGTTGTTTCGTGGTTTTTATTTATTGCAGGTAACATGTTTAGTGTAAACTACTTCTAGACTTCTTTTCTTCTTGCAGATTACAGCATACTTGAACTGGCTAGTTCGCATGTCATCTGAGCTGGAAACCAACATTGTTGCTGTTGAAAGAGTTAAAGAATACGCTGAAATGGAGAAGGAGGTACATTGAGTTTTCCACCACACCTGTAGAAGTCAGTGCCCTGTTCTGAGGTCTTGCCCACAGCCTGGCTGCACAGGTTGGGGAGTGCGGCTGGGCATGTCCTCTGAGCTGAGGGATGGGATAGAGCTTAGTGCTGCCAGTGCCCTCCCTCTAGGGACAGGCTGTTTCTTAGTGGGTAGTTCCTGTGAGTGCTTTTGAGGTGTATTCACTGAGCTGTACAAATGTTTTGGTTTAAGTGCTTAAACATGATTTTTTTTTTTTAAATTTGTGTTTCTTTTTTTTTTCTCTGTGTGGGAAGTGAAGAGGCTTTACTTTTTTTGTTTTGATTCAAATCACCGAATAACTCATTGCATTTGCAGTTGTACCCCTTTTGGCTACAGAACAGAGTTTCCTGTGGCTTCTCTTTGCCACGCCTATCACTTGAACCTGACTTGAGTCACTATTTTTGCAGCTTGAACCTTATGAGGACCCTTCCTAGAATTTTTTCTCAGATTCTGATAGCAGACCAGTGTTTATACAGTTAAAAGCCTTTTGGTTTGGCACCAGCGGTGAATGCAGTGGGGTACGTTCTCTTCTCGTGCACCTCTCTGGGAGACTGAGGCAGCAGCAGTTTATTTTACCAGCTTGTTAATCTTTTGGTGCTTATGTCTCAGACATGCAACTAGAAGTGTTTTGGCTTCCCCATTGTTTCCTTACTGTGGAATACGTGCTGCCTGTATGACTCTGCCATTTGTAAGAGGAGGTGGGACTCCAGCAAGTGGTACTAGTGATAGCAAAGCCCTTGGCTGCATATACGATTTCATCTGCCTCGGGGCTGCGCTTTCCCTCTCTTCCCATCATCATCACAGTTCGTTTTGCAAATTACAGACTAACAGGGATTTTTCTTAATTGCTTTCCTTGAGTCTTCTGAGCCCATGTCCGGTTGAAGGAGGAACTGATCAGATATGTTTGTGTGGTTCTTTTAGGCTGAATGGAGTATTGAACAAACTGCCCCAGCAAGTACCTGGCCTGAGGAAGGGAAGGTTGAGTTCCGAGGCTATGGCTTACGTTACCGGGAAGACTTGGATTTGGTTCTGAAAAACATAAATGTTACCATAAATGGGGGTGAGAAGGTAACAAATCTGAATTTATAGTAAAGTGTTACTGTTTATAAGTCCGCATGCATAAGCCAAAGAGAGGTCTAACCCTGTTCTGTAGTGTGTCTTGGGTCCCTAGCAACTAGAAGAGCTTCTGTAGAATCAGTCTTACTGTAACTGGCAGATACAGTGGGCTCAACCATTTCAAGGGATGTCCTGCATTATGGGATAAAGATACACTATTACTGTGTGCTTGTGAACTCTCTTTTGGTGTGGTTTCATACGGAAGTGAGGTTTATGCTGTGTTCTCTCCCATTCCCAGGAAATGTTGCTAGTTTATTTGCCATAAGCAAAGAGGAATACAAGTTACAGAGAGATTAAGTCAATTACAGTCTCAAGAAAATGAGCTACTAAATAGCGGGGCAGAGGGCGGGGGGAAGCACTGATCTAGTGAGGCAGAAATTGCAAGGTGAGACTCTCTGCAGGAAGAAATTGGACTTCAGAGTAGATTCTCTGGATCTGGCCAAACTGATGATGTGTGTCTCCTACTGCTTCCTCGCACTCATCCCACCCCAGTCCTGTGTGGATTCTCTGTTGTCTACTAATAGCATGATCTTGCATGGCAGCATAAAAGGTAGCTGCAAGACAGATCTACTGTCTGGCTTCCTTGTTTGTGGTATCCGATGAGACATTTACTTTTTTCCTGAATGCATGCATTCTACCTACAAATATGGACAGAATACTATCTCAAGAGTGGTTAGAAAGCACAAATGGCAAGATAGAGATAATCAACCAAAGCAGCAATCTTCTATATTTATTTTTTAAAAAGAAAAGAATTGGTGAAGACTTCAGTCTAAACTGGGAGCAAAACATACAGTATGAAACTGAGTGCTTTTGGTGTACTTTTGCTATAAATTCAAACAAGATAAACATCAAGTCAGCAATTATAACTGTGAAGCAGGAACCAAACAAAGGACTAGGGAAACCTTGACCTGCTCTACCCAATTCCATCTGCCCTTCTAGAAAAATGGAAAACGCCTGTGATTGGATTGCAAATTTTGACTACTTTTTGTTCTCATTTATTTATATCCAGTGATTTTTTTGTTTTGTTTTGTTTCCCTTTGATCACCCCCAATTTGTTATGCTGTTTGCGGGTGTTGATAGCCCAGCAAATATGACAAGCTTCTGAAAATGCATCGGTTCAAGGTAGATGCTTGGAAATGCTTTAACTCTCTTCCCTGGAGTAAGTTGTTCCCATATTTCCTCCCAACAGATTGGAATAGTTGGGAGAACGGGAGCTGGAAAATCCTCCCTTACTTTAGGTTTGTTTCGGATTAATGAAGCAGCTGAAGGAGAAATTATCATCGATGGAATTAATATTGCAAAGATAGGGCTCCATGACTTGAGGTTCAAGATCACCATCATTCCTCAGGTAGGTGTGAAATTCTGCCATTACCAAAACTTGTTTTGTAACAATGCTGTTTCTGTAATGTACTGTGGAGAATATATTTATTCCTTTTCTGATCTTGAGTCATTTCGGCATGCTTTTTCATGGACTTGAGACCAAGCTTTTTTCCTAGACTGGCTTCAATTTGCATGTGTTGGGTGGCAAGTAGGAGCTTGTCTAGGGCTGAGTTGTGATGTGGAAGCAAAACCTTCGCCTTCGGACTCATGAGCTTTGTTGCCAGCACCCGACACTGGTCATTTAAATGCTATAGACAGCTTAGCCTGAGTGGGGAAGTGTGATCCCAGCTGAACAGCTGTATGGGGTCCCTTTGTTAACTGGGACCATTGCTCTTTTGGCCAGTAGAGGGGAAGTAAAGTCTGAGTATTTCCACTTGCGGGGAGCCCTCAGGCGAGTTTTTCTGGAGATCGCTTTCCACTTTCATTTTAGGTAGTTCCATTCTTTTTAGAAACGGAATGAAGGTACTGTGTGGCCTAGTTGTGAGGGATCAGGATTTTGCGTTGCTATTTCAGGCTTGATATGTACCCTTTGAGCCTTTGTACAAAGCATTCTGACTTTGGCAGGCTCTCGTGAGCGAGATAGGCAGTACTGTTCATGCACAGAAATCTGTATATAACCATCCCAGTCTAGCCCAGCAACTGTGGGCTTTATAGTCCAAAACGTTTGGATATATGGCTTTATAAGTGGTGGACTCACAGTCTCAAGTCATCTTGTTTTTACTGTGTAGCCTTTATGGCCTGCCTGTTCTGATTCAAAGTAAGACCATAAAATGTGGTTATATAAATCACTGTTGCAGCACGCTGGCAAAAACGAGCGAGCACAGTGTAAATGGTTTTCTGTACCACTTCTTTTGGAAATCTGGGGGGGACTTTGCTTTCTCCTTTTGATAACTTTGCATCAGCCTGACCACTACTGGGTCAAAAGTATTTCCAAAGTAGTATTTCTCCATGTCCAAGAAAAAAATGCACTCATTAACACTCCTGCTG